AAGCAGCAGTTCACAGTAATAACTCAAACAATAACCTCTCCAGATCTGGTGTTCTGTCAGTGCTGGGCATTGTTAGGTTGGAGACCCTGAGTGCAAACACAAGCAGTGGAATCCCTATGTGCCAAATGCAGAATATACCCAACACACATTTAAAAGCTAATAATTAAAAAAAAAAATCCCATTTCAAAATAACTGCTTGGTATCCAAATGGAATGAGAATGAAATGTGACTAGCAGCCTTGTGACTCTTGTGTTGTATAACAAGATAAAAAGTGCCTGGGATTTGTGGATTGAGCTTTTTTTCATTTGTCTTCCAGAGGTCAAAGTCTACTGCAAGCAGTGACCGATAGAATTCCCTGTGTAAGTCAGGCTAGACTGCCTGTGCCTCAGGTTCTAACAGCAGGGAGTTTGTGCAAGAACACCTTGGTAGGTGTTTGTGTGGATTTCTCTGTGGTCCTTGTGATGATCCCAGGAAGCAGGAGGAGATCCAGAGTTGTCTGAAATCCAGGATTCTTTGAAATCCCAGAGAGGTAATGATGAGAGATGTGGCTGAGGCCAACCTGCTAGCCTGCCTCCCGTGCTGCTTCTTGCATGAGTCCAAGAAGCTGCCTCCAGTTTATGCAATTGCACTCTAGTAAACAATTTTGCATGCAGATATGAGCAGCAGATGTTACTCATGCCTGTGTGAACACTTCAGTGTTTTTACAACAGGGATGATCCTCAGATGGAGTCCTGTAAACAAGGATTATACCCACCAGAAGTCACACTGGTTACAGCCATTCTCTTACAGCTTGCTCAAAACACTTTGAAGGATGGTCACGCCATCCTTCTTTGGCCACTCAAGGGGATTGGCTCACAAATATGAGCAAAATAAAATTAGATGGCTTAAGTGCCTGCAACCCCAGCTGTGTCCCCACTGCCCAATTCCCAGAAGGTCATCCCTGCAGCCAGGCTGGCTGTGGAAGGCAACTCCTGAGCTGCTGTAGTGACAGCCCATTCTTCAGGGTGTTAATATTTGTCTGGCTCCTCTGTGAAACAGTTTAGGAAGCTTAACCAGAATAAAAATGTGTACTTTTCCATCTGAAGAATTATTTTTTTAGTTTCATTTCTCAGATGGGCTCTGAGAAGCAGCAACATTGCTGTGAGGGCAGGGCAGAGAGAGATGACCTTCCCTTTTGGGAGCAGCCATTACGTCAGTTTTGCTGCCTCACAAAACTATGCCCTATGGTTATTTTTGGTGCTGGACTGCCTTAATTTTCTGGAGAGTGAATGAAGGATTAACATAGTGTGCTTATGACATTTGGAAACTCAGCTTTAAAAAAAAAATCATAATTCAGCATGTGCTGAAGCTTAAATTGCTAGGGATGGGAAAGATGCGTGTCCATGGTATTAATTTCTACAATTCAGTTATAGGTTAAATCCTTTTTTAAATTTTTTTGAGTTTTGCTGCTGTTTAAGACCTATAACCCAATGCCTACTATCCAGCTGCCTCTAGAGAGAGAAGTCTTTCAAGAGACCAGCTTTGTACCTATAAATAATGTACACAGCAGAGTACAAAAATGGAGTCAAGGAGAAGCTCCTCCTTACCTGAACGTAACTGCAGCAGCTCTGTGAGAATAGCTGTGGTCAGGCAGTGAGCAGCACTCGTACCCTGTCATCCATCTTGACTAAACTGCTTCTGAGAACTAATTCTGAGATTCCAACGCTTGAATACCAACTGGTAAATCACAGCTGCCTTGTACTGAAACACATTAGATGCCAGCAGCCAAACGTGGCAAGGTTTTCAACAGTGTGGTTCTAATCCTGCTTGGAACTAAAGGTCTGCTGGAGTGCTTTGTTAAGTTGGATGTGTTGGAATATGGAGAATTTTGCAAGTCTGAACCCCTGCTATAAATGAAAACACTGTGGCAAAAAAATGTAAATAAATGCCACACATACTTTAAGAGGCCTTCCCACTATCTATAAATATGGTAATTTTGGTGTTTCCCAATTTTGAGTTTTAAACAGGAGACAGACACATGAAATATTACAAAGCAAGCATTTTATTTTTTTCATGGATTAATTTTATAATTTCACTTTTTACTTACCTGAAACAGTTAATGGAAACCAAATGTAGTGTTTTAAAGAGGATTGCCTTTGAAAGGAAATAATTTGTTCTTGAAAACATAACTTCAATAGCTTCTCAGTTTAACTGCATTTTAATATGAACACAAAACTCATCCCGAGTCAGACTCTCCAGGAAAACTTTCTCATGATTCCTGTAGCAGTTGATTCATTTCTTGCTGCCTTAATTTTGCAGCTTTAAATGGCAGGTTCTCTGAAAAGCCATCCACTTCAAAGCTTCATAAAACGGAGCTTTGAATAAATTACTGAGTTAGAAATTATACTGGCTGTGCCCAGCTTTGTGCCTGGATGTGGGAATACTTGGCACTGGGTGTGGAATTCCAAGGAAAATTGCCTCTTTGCTGGCTTGCCAAAGAGCAGTAAGAAGGAAAACTGCTGCAGATGAGCAGACAAGGAAATCTCCAGTTTCCCTTTCCAGAGAACACATCCCAAAGAACTGTTAAATATTAATACACATTATAACTGGTGCAACACTGGGCAAGCACTGGGATTAACAGAAACTACTGCTCCTGGAGGGGATGTGTCCCAGCGTGGCCACGGGGCAGCTCTGCCTGCTGGAACTGCTCTTGCCTTTCAAATGCACCCCTGTGGATGCAATGTGCAATCAGTGGGAAGTGGGGAAGGCCTAGGTGTGTGGACACACCATGCTGGGGTGTAGGATGCCTATGCTTTATGAGTCCTAGGCTGTATTATTTTGGATTTTTTTCCTCTCTTTTACAAGCTTTAGATAATATAATACTGGTAACATGACACTTCTAAGCATTGACATAGTTGCTTTGTCTTTCACAAAGAGATGCCCCACCTTCCTCTGTATTCAGATTTCTGGTATGTGTGTATGGAGACGATTTGTCTATAATTGTTTGCTTTCTTCAGAGTCTTTTGAAGTTTAAATCTTCAAGCCAGCTCTCTATATTAAAAATAAATTCTTCCAAGCCACCAATAAAATGTCAGCCGTGATTAAAGCCCGATTCCTCATTTTAAGACTTGTCTCCTAAGCACTGTGAGGTCACTCAATGAGTCAGCGTTTGAAAGGACCAGGACCGTTATTGTTTGGGTAAAGCCCAAAGTTCATCATTGCTTGCTTAAATGGTTTCATCACGTTTAAAATTGCTTTGCATTGTGCTGAAAGAAATGTAAACTACAGGAATGATTTTGGCAGAGAACTTGTGATATTTCAGGCACCTCAAATCTTGAAAAAACCCTCTGTATTAATGTCGAAGTTGGTATTTCTGGTAAGGAAAAGCTTTATCTCCTTTGTAGTAAAGAGGAGGATGAAGTGGGAAGCCGTGTTTGAGGCATAAACTTCCAACTATGTTCTCTTAAAATAAAGCTTGAGAACTGTAAAATCTTCAGACAAGGGCGCATGTACAGTGCCAAAGTCTGATAGGGCTTTTCTAGACACTTTCTAGACACTTTATTAATTTTATTAAAATAGTGAAAAAATAGAGCATTAAGGTGCAAGGGAAAGCCTTGAGAAGTGAGTCCATGCTATTTTGAAGACTATCTATGGAGTCTATTTATAATTTTTGTGGGCATTAATTGTAACAGTCTTTAATTACATGAAAACATTTTATTTTGTCACTTTTCCTCCCTGTTTGTTGCAGTGCACACTGTTGGGACTATTTGGAGACAATCACAACAGAGCAGCAAGTAAATTGGAGCAGGACTCTGCCTCTATCTCCAGCCTGTGTCAGTCGTGGGTCTCCCCATTCTCTCTGCCCTTTTCCTACATTCCTAATTAACTCCTGCCTCAATTCCTCACTGATCCATACAGCCCAAAACCCTTTGTCTTAGTGCCGTCTGGAGAATTGGGCCTAGGTGTTGAAGAGGAATCCAGGAACGTCTTGCCCTCCTGCAGTGGAGGCCGGTCAGAGCACAGGCGGGAGTTCAGGTCATGTCGCTGCCACCTCCCCGCCCAACCCCGGAACATGCTCAAGTGGGGATAATCAGAGATTGAAATGGTATAAAATCTGTTGCGAATTCTGTCAAGTTTCAAGAGTTCTCCTCCTTACACTCTCGGGCTTCCCCATCAACCTTTGATTTTTTTGTTAAGCATCAGTTAAATCCAGTGTTTCTCTCGGACGTGGACAGGTGCATTTGTTGAGCCCAACTTTCCTGGGCCGGGTGGGTGCAGAGCCCGCCCGGTGGCGGGTCCGTGCGGGTCTGCCCGGGCGGCTGCGGGTGGAGCCCTGGAGCCGGGTGAGCTCCGGCTGCCGCGGGAGCGCTGCAGCTCGGCCCGGCAGCGATTCGGGGCGCTGCTGCTGCTCCGCGCTTTCCGTGGCTGCTGCTGGGAGCGCGGCCGCTCACGGTGTTCACGTTCCTGCCCAGATCCCCTCCGCGTGGCCCTGCCTGGGGCTGTTCCAACCCTCTCCGCCTGCCCCGGGGCGCGGTTCACCCCCTTCATGACGGTAAAACGCGGCTTTGCAGCATCCCGGGCCGCCCTCCTCCCGGTGACCCTGCGGTGAAACCCCCCCGGGGCCGCACGCCGCTCCCCGCTCCCCGCCGGTCATGGAAACCCCAAAGGCGAAGGCCGGGGACGGAGACGGCTCCACCGTGGACGCTCATTCTGTCTGTGCCGCGCTCGCACGGGGAGGGGAGGAAACGCGCCAGCCCTGAAATGGCCCCGTCGCCGGCAGCCTCACCTGCCGCTGGCCCGGGGAGGGGGCGGCCGGGCGGGTCCGCGCTGGCCGGGCCGGCTCTCCCCCGGCCGCGGTGCGGCGGGGCGGGGCGGAGGGCGGGCGCGGCGGCGCCGCTCGCTGATTGCAGGGCGGGCGCTGCCAGTCCGCCGCCTCCCCCGCGCCAGCCGCGTCCCCGCGCCGGAGCCGCACGGCCCAGCAGCGAGCGCCCAGCCCGGCCCGGCCCCGCCAGCCGCCCCCCATGGAGGAGCAGCCCCACCACCACCATCATCACCACCACTATTACTACTACGGACACCACCACCACCACCCGCAGAGCGCCTACCTGCCGCCGCCCGACGGCCGAGCCCAGCCCAAGCCGCCGCTCCGCCACGAGCACAAGCACGGCGGCCCGCAGCACACGGAGGCGCCGAAGCGGAGACCAGGTTGGAGTGGGCAGCGGGACGGGGCCTGTGACCTTCGCGGGGCGGCGGTGGGGCCCCCCTCTCTTCCTCCTCCTCCTCCTCCGCCGCCGCCTCCCCCGGCCCGGCTCGAAGCTTCTCCGCCGCGCTGGGGCCGCTTCCTGTCCGCCATGTTGGGGCTGCGGGAGCCGCGGGCCCGCCGGCACCGCCGCCCGCCGGCACGTGGGGCCGGGCCGCGTTGCCCCCGCCGGCCGGGCCCCGGGGGCACGGGGGGGCGCGGGGGGCGGCCGAGCGATTGATGAGCGCCAGGATCAATGAGTCAGAGCCGGCGGAGAGGCCCGGCCCGGCCCCGCCGGCGGCCGCGGGAGGCGGCGCGGCCCGGCCCGGCCCAGGGCGCTTCGGCCGCCTCCTCTCCGCCGGGGCCGGGGCTGCGGCCCCCAGGCTGTGCCGAGCCGCCGCTGGCCGGGCGGCAGCGCCGCAGAGGCGGTGGCCGGTGAGCGGCGCGGGGGGAGCCGATCCCGGGCAGGGCCGGAGCCCTCGCCGCGCTCCTGGGGGGCTCCCCGGCTTCAGCAATGCCTCTGGGGGGGGCTTGTGCGGGTCAAAGCGAGTGCGTGGCCACCAGCCGGCCAGAGTGCTGCCTACATTTTTTTTTATTTTTTTTTTTCTTCCCTTGAATTTTCCTTTTACATAACGAGGTGGGAGGGGGCCTGGCAGCAGCGGAGCGGGGTCGACAGTGGCCCATGTGCAGCCTGGGCAGGCAGGGAGGGACCTGATCGGGCACACGCTAAAATAAGTTACCGAGCAAAAATAAGTTGAGAAGTCATTTCACTGTTTGTAGCGTGCCCAGGGTTTTAATATGTGCCTAGGCTGGCACCCCTCCCTTCCCAGCTCTCAAACGTTTCATGAGCTTGCCAGATCTTCTTCACCTGTTCTTCTTACCATCCTGACTTTTTTCCTCTCCCCTAAATTTTGGTTGCTGCACCTCCATGTCCAGGCCAAGGCCAGCTGTGCCAAATGTTGATTTGGAGAAAACTCAGGCAGCTGAGCTGTGAATGCTTGAGAATTGGAACTAGAAACTGCTGACACACTGACTTACTGAAATGGATTTTGTTCTTCATTTTATTCTTTCACTCCTCATCTGCAGTGGTCTTATGACCACTCTTATTGTTTTGTTTCATTAACAAGTGGTGTCAGAAGTCTTGAGTCACACAAGGTCAGCTGTAACACTCTGCTCTTGAGAGGGCTTCCTCTTCAGGCTGTTCTGAAATACTTAATTTTAGAGGATCACACCGTTCTAATTCTCTCTGTGGTGAAATATTTATGGTTAATTTTCTTAACAACATATTTGAAAGTTATAGTAGAAGTTGTGGTGGTTACAGATACTTGCATGTAGTAAAATCCTTTTTGATCCCCCTCGGCAAACTCAGTTGTGGAATTTCTGTAAAGATTCCTACAAGGATTCTTGTGTTCCCGACTTGCACAGAACTTGAGCTGTTACATCTGCCAGACATCTGAGGCTCCAGGATGTGAGGGTAACAATGATTTTTAGTTACAGCACTTAATTTCAACAACATCGGCAACAACAAAAACATTCTTCTTTGAAGCTGGAGTTCTGCCCGCTCCAGTTGTTGAGGGACTCCCTCTCTGTGCTGACTCCGTGCCACCGTGGCTGCAGATGGAGCCTTAGGTGGGTCAGTGGTTGTGGGGGATGTGAGGCTTTCCAGCCTGGGGAAGGAGGACGGATGAGTCAGAGGAGCAGCGGGTGCAGGAGGAGGGATCCCTCTGCTCCGTCTGCAGCTGGAGTGGATTTGTTGAGCAGGGCACAGTGTGCTCTCCCTGTCTCCCACTGGGGCCCCAGGGCTTCCCTTGGGGCTTTAGCCAGGGTCCTCGAAAGCAGCAGGCTTGTGGCCAGAAATATTTAAAAAGGGAGAAGTGAAGAAGTTGGGGTGGTTCAGTGTGGACTGTCCTGGGCTTCCAGCTCTGCTTGAATTGCATTCCCAGAACCATAAGGCCTGGAAGTGAGCTTCATAAGGAAAAAAAAAAACTGAGTCTACAGCAGAATCTCATGCTTTAATGAATTGGAACCCTTAGCAAACACTTTATTTCTTGGACCTCAGGCTCATACCAGCTCTGAAATACTGTTTTTTCAGAGACCCATTGCTGGTGGCAGCAGAAGGACGCTTGCAGGGATGCAGTTTTTCCTCAGTTTTATCACATTTTGAGGGCTAAGGGGCATGTGTAGAGAGGTGCTGGTCACTCTTGAAATGCAGTGAGGAGATGTGATCACATTTTCTTCCCTCCATCTTCCAACTGGACTTGCACATATCCTTTTGGAATTTTTTTTTCCACCTCTTTGCTGAGATGGCATTTAGGAGGAGGGTGGGAAGCAGGGCTGCTGGTGTAGCAGGCCTAGGAGCTGATGGAGATGGTACTGATGTTCACATGGTGTATCCTGAACCTCCACTGATCTTGTCACAAAGGCAGTGGATCCCGCTGTCTTGAAGCATCCTGGGAATTAATTTTTTCCTCTCTGTGACCTGGAAATAGGAGCTGATGAAATAGCTCTCTGGCTTGCCAGTGATCTTCAGTACAGTATATTTTCCTGGCATAGTATCTGTATTTTCTTTTGCTTTGTTATGTTATCTGTGTGTCACTCAGTTATGCGAGAGTCAGTCACGGCTGGTCCTTCCTGCTTAACCCTTCTTGCTGTGTATTCCAGCAAATAAATTTATGCAGCTTTACCTCAGAGACTAGATATTTTCCTATTTTAAAATGTCTGCATGAGGAAACTGGATATGTTTGGGGCTGACTACAGCTTTCTGCAATGACAAGTCTAACATTTCGCATTCTAATTCTTGCCTTTTACTGTTTTTGGCTTCCCTCTAGGCTACGGAGAGCTAAATGGTAACGCAGGAGAACGAGAAGTGTCACTAAAGGGCCTGTGCTCTGATGAAGCCACCGCCCCAGGATCCAGGGTACCCAATGGCAGCCAGCAGCTCGTAGATTCTAATGTCACCCCAAAGCAGACTGTGAAGGGCGGTGCTTTGGGGAAGGCTGGAATCAAACCCAAGAACTTCATTCAGAAAAATAGCATGGACAAAAAGAATGAGAAGTCCTACGAAAACAAACACAGAGAAAACCAATCCTCAGACAAGCCAGAGGGAGTGTCTATTCCAAACGGTGTGGTAACCAATAATTCCAGCTACATCACAAATGGCTACGTAGGCAAAGGGGCCGACAACGATGGTAGTGGCTCCGAGAGTGGATATACTACACCTAAAAAACGGAAAGGCAGGCGCAACAGTGCCAAGGGTTGTGAGAACTTGAATCTAGTACAGGACAAAATAATGCAGCAGGAGGTCAGCGCACCAACCTTGAAACAGGAACTTGACAGTTTCAAGCCTGATTATAGTGAACAAAAGGGGAACCGAATTGAAAATACTAAGCCTGTTTGGAAATACGAGGCTGGGGCTGGTGGAGCAGGCCGGGGAAAGCCTGGGCTCGGGGATGTACCGAGGAAAAACTCTGATGCCAAACCTGGGATTAGTGGCAAGAAGTTTGATGACCGGCCCAAAGGGAAGCACGCATCATCGGCTACATCTAAAGAGGACTCATGGACCTTATTTAAACCGCCCCCGGTTTTTCCAGTGGACAATAGCAGTGCTAAAATTGTTCCCAAAATTAGTTATGCAAGTAAAGTTAAAGAAAACCTCAACAAAGCAGCTCAAACCCCATCCACATCGTCCTCGTCATCTTCATCATCTGCTGGGGAAACTCAGGCCCAAACATCAAGTCGACTGTCCCAGGTCCCCATGTCTGCTATGAAATCTGTCACTTCTGCCAGCTTCTCAAATGGGCCGATCCTGGCAGGGACTGATGGAAGTGTGTATTCCCCAGGGGCCCAGCCACTGCTTTCCACTGCTGCTAGTACTGTACCATCGACCTCCTCCGAGTCAGTACCCCAGGACATGAGTACAACTTCGACAACCCCCGAACAAAAGAAATCTGGCCTTTTTATCTACCCTTCAAATATGCAAACTGTGCTCCTGGGGACAGCGCAAGTCGATTTCCCTTCGCAGACGAATCAGCAGAACCTGGGGGATATCTTCCAGAATCAGTGGGGCTTGTCTTTCATAAACGAGCCCAGTGCTGGACCTGAAACCATTGTGGGGAAATCTACGGATAATCAGTTAATGGAAGTGACATTTCAAGGGGAATATCCTGCCACTTTGGTTTCACAGTGTGCTGAAATCATTCCCTCAGGAACTGAACAACCTGTGTTTCCTAAGGCTTATGAGCTGGATAAACGGACTAGCCCTCAAATTCTTAGTGCTATTCTTAAGCCTGGGACTGCTGTTGAGGGTGGTGTCTTAGCTTTGGAGTCACATCACACAGGTGACCTACAAAAGGCAGACACCGGTAGCCAAGGTGCTTTAGTGTTTCTTTCAAAAGACTATGAAGTAGAGAATCCTCTGGCCTCTCCTACGAACAATTTGCTAGCCTCCGCCAAAGAACAGAGGTACCAGAGAGGCCTAGAAAGGAAAGATAGCTGGGGTTCTTTTGACCTGAGGGCTGCTATTCTATATCACACTAAAGGTAATGGCTTAATTTGCTGCCTAAGGGCGTTCTCTTTTTTTTAATTTTTATTTTATTTTTATAAATGCAATATTCTAACATGGTATGTTCCTTCCAGCAATTCTAATTGTTTTTAAAAGTGCCCTTTGTTTTGCTTGTATATCCTCGTATCCATAAGGCAATAACGCTCTGGGGAAGTTACTCAAAGAGTTGATTAATTAATGTTAAGAGGTATTTGTTTCCCTGTTCCTGTGGACAAGCATGGGTGATGTTGATAGGGATGATACTTAGCAGGTCGTCACAAGCCACTCGGCATTGGAAGGAGTTAAATGTGTAGGTTCAGCTGCTCTGTTCCAGCTGTACCAGGTGATATTCTGTCGCTGTGAAGGCTTCATAGTCTATACTCACACCTCTGCCACCAAAGTGTTGTAGCTTCTCCCCTGGGCAGATCAGACCATGAAATCATGGCTTTGAAGGAAGAAAAAATTATTCCTACAGCTGTAGGTGTGATTTATTTTTTTAAGTGTGCCCCACACACACTTTTTCCCTGCCTTTCAGTATTATGGCAACAGCAAGACCAATTTTTTCTTATCAGCTCTTCTGTAAGCTGCAGATTGAATTCTCTCCTTGTCTTTGTAGGCCACATCTTTCAGATGATTTTATTGCTTTCATGGAGTCCTTTGTAGTCCAGCTCCCTTTTTTCCTGTTTTTTTGAGATTGAAATGACTCAAACGCGATACAGACACTTCAAAATGGGAACGAAGAGAGGGAAGCCTGTGGGATGGATTGCTTTCTGCTTCAGCCCCAGAAGCTCTGAGGACTTGGGGCAGTTCTTGGCTTTTGGTGCTGGCTCAGTGTTAGCAGGAGCCTGGTTGTGTGTTCCCTTTTGTCACAGCGTTATTTTCTCACTCTTGACCAACACTGGGGCAGTTCCTTTTTTTGACACCCTTCCCTCTCCCTGCACCCTTCTACCCTGAAGGGAACAAGGCCATCATGCTTTTTTTGTTTAGTATTCCACATGCATACAGGGATAAGGTCTTGCTCCCTTCTGCAGAGGGTGTGTACTTGGCTTCTAGTATTTTGGCATATTTGCTGTTTTCACCCTCTGCAAAGTTCTTGAATTACCACTTCACAAACTCTGTATATCATAAACTCGAATGCCTTCCTGTAGTAATAACAAGCCCAGTCATTTAAAAATAATAACTCCAAATATTTTTTTCCAGGTCATCTCCCTCTCAAGACATTAACATTTCAAGCTCTAGTATTCTTGATAACAGTGTTCATCAGTTGATTTTATCTGGGTCCTCTCTCCTCTGCTCAGTTTATTCCAGCATTTAAACAGGCTTTCTAGTCTCATTTTTTGTGTCTGCTTGCAGCTTAAATCCCAGCTTCTCATCAGAAAGCATAACAAGGAAGAAAATCCTCAGTGATCTTTTTCTTAATTTTGCAAATATTCCCTAGACTTCTGTTTGCCTCTCTGTTTTTGTCAGTCTGAATTTGTGGAAAAGCTATTGTGCTGCCAGTAAGACTCATCAGCTCTCCCATTCTCACTTGCTGTGAAAGGCAGGCCTCAGTGAAACAATAGGAACAACAGGAAAATAAAGAACACTCCCATCCCATGTCCTCTCAAGGAGGTGTTAACTTCAAAGCCTGGTTGCAGTTGAGCTCTTCTAAACACAGGAGTTAATTACATTTGTTGGCAAGAATGGCCACTTAAAGTGCCCGTTAAAATACTGTTCTCTCCTTTTCTTCTGCATGTGAATGGTCTTGCTTTGAGCATCCAGAGCAAACACCCTCATGATGGCCTGGGGATACCCGATCCTTCCCCAGCACTCATCTCTGCTAATTTCTTTTTTCACACTATGTATGTGCCATTTTCAAGGTGTTACTTAGGGGTAAAAGATGATGGATGTTTCTAATCAGCATTGTCATGAATGCAGTGATGGGGTGCTCCAAACTGCTTGGGCTTGTCTTTCTCCTGCTTGGTGTTCCAAAGCTATTGCTGCTTTACAAAGCAAAGGATCAGTCCAGGTGTTAGTACTTCTGCAGTGATGGTAGATGTTGCATTTCAGTCTTGGGGTGAGTTGGGTTAAGGAATATTTGAAGGAATGATGCCTCCGGTCCTCTCTTCATGGCGTGGTCCCGCAGCCAGAGCTCATCATGTGCTGTGAAATACCTCAAAACCGGAGCTTTTCTGGAATGCCTCAAAACCAGGGTGTGTTTGCAGGACAGCAGTGCGGGAGTTAATTCCCACACTATTCTCTCCGTTTATCTTGGGCTGTTTTCCTGAGGTCCAGCTCCAAGCCAGCCAGTTCCTCTGCAATAGGAAAAGAACGATTTCACTCAGTTCCTTTTCACAAGTTGCCTTTTCCTTCTTGCTCGGGAGAGTGTGTGGGTTTGCTTGGGTTGGTTTTAGGGCATTCCAGGCACTCGGGTCCTCAGACTGTTTGGTTTTGGTTTTGAGAGTCGGGTGAACTTCTCCCTCTCAGATTGATCTGTTTGCTTTTGAGCAAAGTCTCAGTAGTTTGATCTTTGCATCTGCCCTGCCCTTGGGGTTATGAACACAAAGAGAAACGATCACAGGACAAGGACAGGGATGAGTGTGGAGCCCTGTGGGGTCCTGGTATATTCCCTACCCTGAGCTCCATGTGCAGTGTTTTAGTGCAAGGATGAAGCTCTGGGGTTTGCAGAGAAGAATGAGCTGAGGTGTGAGTGGTTGCAGTGCTTTGAATGTCATCAATGTGCTCTCTTTTTTGCACTGTTTGTGCCTATAACTGTGAACAGGTTGTGTGGATCCTCGTCCTGGACTGTAAATTTCTCTGGGAAAGCCTCCAGCTTACTCAGTAGCTTTGTTCCAGCAAACCAGGCTTTCCTGTGCGTGGTTTGCCCAGCAACTGCACAGGACATTATAAACTGTAATTGCTTTACAGCTTCCCTGTGGAAAGAGGGAGAGAGGAGGTGGCACCCAGAGAGAACTGGCTCTGCTACAGTGCTCCTGTAACTCAGCCCAGGATCCCTGAGTGCTGGGGTGTGAGGCTGGGTGACTGCAGAGTGCAGAGAGGTCCTGCTGGAGATTCCTGTGTTCCTTTGCCTGTACCCTGACTGCTTTTTCTCCAGAAGTCAGAGCACTGGGAACATTTAGGCAAGGATGATGATGCACTCTCTTGTTCTTCTTGGAAGCTTTTCCTGTTGGTTTCCTTGTACCCCTGCTTCATGCTTTGCTTCTTTCTTTTTTTTCCCCCCCACAGGGGTGGGCTTCACATGGGAAATTGGAAGGCCCAGGAAGGAGTCATGCTCTCATTTCGAGTTATTGTCCCCTATCTAGGTTAAAAGTTGAACTTCTGCCTTGATGTGGCATTGCTGAAATCCTTATCTTTTTGAGGTGAAACTGATTCTTGCAGATATTTTGGTCCCTCAGATAAGGAGGCTGAGTGTACGTCAGCTTTACTTGCATCGAAACCAGCACATCTCCTTACTGCTTTAGTCCTCCTTTTAAAAGACAGCTGGATGAAGCACTTCATATCAGAATAATTGTCAATGCTTTGGAGAATTTTGTCATGTTCAGGCACTTGCAGTCCAGGCTGTCACTAACACTGAGCTCTAGATGGCAAGCTTTGTGGTGGGAAGCTCAATAATTTGCTTGTCCTGAGGTAAAAAGCAAATAATTGAGGCATCCAGCTCAGCTGCATAGCAGCAAAGACCACATGGGTGGATGAGAGTGAGCTGCAGGGTTTCCCTTGTTCTTGTCCCTGAATTTCTGCCGGTGCTGCTGCTTTGTTCCTTGTCAGCATCTCGGTTGCAGCAGCATCTCTGCTCGCGTGAAGAAGCAGGAGAGCAGCAGGGAAAATAGAGCAAGGCAGCGTGGGCCAGCCAGGAGTGGCGTTCGTCAGAATGGTGAACTGGGTCAGAAGAAATAGCAGAGCTGTGAATTCAGCAATTTTCATCCTTTACATCAGGAGAGGGGGGAAAAAAGCCTTGGTTTCCCATCCCCCCCGTGGTGGGAAGGGGTTAGAACTCGCTCTGTTGGTTATGGCCTTGTGGGGCAAAAGCTGATTTAATTCTCCTTCCAGTCCCTGCTCTTTCCAGTTGTCAGGATTAGTACAGTGTATTGCTGTTCAGCCATGAGTCTCCACAGCATGGAATACTTATTCTTTGCTTTGTTTCCAGGGCAATCCCCATACTTAATCATTGTCCTACAGATACAAACAGGAAAAATCAGACAAGAACGGTCCCTTCTTATTATTTTTTTTTAGTCTTGTATTTTAGGGAGAATTTGGGGATTTATAAGGACAGTGAAGTAGTAGCATGGCATTGTGCAGACACTTCTGTTAGCAGGGACTGCCTCTTTAGCAAGGAAAATGTGTGTTAAAGTGCCTGTCTTAGCAAGTTATTAGAGAAACACTTCTTTCCCCTCCAAGGTTATGTACCAGTCCTGCTGTAAAGTTTATTGACCTATGAGGAATCCCAGCACAATTCGCTAGAATGTGCCTTAGTCTGTTCCTGACATCAAAGCTTTCCTCCAGTGACCCTTTGTTTCAGTGATAGTCCCCAGAAAAAGTGGTTTAGGTGGATGTGGCTGAGACTGTCTGCCCCAGGCAGTTCCTCAAAAAACCATGAGCCTGAGGGCTGTGGAAAGGCCAGCTAATTGTAAAAAAAATCCTGGAAAACGAGAGGTTGGAAGGGACACAGGAGGTGACCTAGTTCTGCCCCTGGCTTGAAGCAGGGCTGGCTTTGATGCTGGGTTGTGCTGGGTTTGTTGATGGCTTTTCTCCAGCTGAGTTGGAGTCCACTTGAGAAGAAAGTTTGCTGTTTCCCCAGCCGCATGTCTGGTTTTGGGAGTGGTGGCTCCTGTTGGGAAGGTCTTTGGAAAGCAGCAGTTTTGGGGCAGTATCTGAGAGACTGGACTCGGGTTCATGGCAAGGATGCCCCTTTTCTCATGCAGGGTGAGCAGCTGTAGGAGTCCTTTGCTTAAACCTGCTCTGGAAGTTTAGCCAGGGAAAAGAGGCTCAAGAAAAGAGCTCTTTGAGCCCAAAGAAGGAGAGCTGAAAGCAGGCTTGGGGCCTCTTGCATGCCCAGTTCTTGGGGGCTGTCTTTCCTTCTGCTTGGCTGGAGCCAGGCATTGGGCAGCAGTGGCTCTGCTGAGCTGCCTGTCCACCAGGTCAGTCACCAAGTCACCCTGTGACAGTGGCCATGGCATTTGTCACAGCACTTTTTGTCAGTCATAGGTGATCACAGCCTGGTACTGACAGGAAAACTTAGCTGTATTACCAAGTAAAGCAGAGTAAATCATACAATTCCATTTTAAGATTGAAGAAATCCGTTTTTTCCCTAGTTTTGTGTTACAGTTAGCCTGTTTTCTTTTCCCTTGTGAAGTTGTTTCACTTTGTCAGTGTGCTTAACCTGTGCTGTCCCCTGTCCCTGTGCTGCCAGGTGGAGGGGAGGACCTTGCTCTGCTGATGGCAGGTGATATTTAGTAAGAGCTGTTATTGCATTGTTTGCTGATGGTCTTTGGTTCTGTAGCTTGGTCAGGCTGAGCATCTGCCAGCCAGTGTGTCCAGGTGTCTGGGATTTCCAGGACACTTTACACCACCCTCCCTTTCTGAAGGAGGAGAAGGGAAATGGAAGTCTGAAAATGTCGTAGGTTTGTTAGATTTTTTTGAAACAGAGTTTTGTCAACTTAGTAGGTTTTTGGTTCGTTCTTAACAGTATCTTTGTTTGTATATCTATTTGTCTTATTTTCAGATACTCTTAATACAAAGAGTTCACATTCTTGTGCTGTCCAGAGAGCTGTTAAGGCCAAATGAAGAGCACAAGACAATGTGGTCTGTGCATGGAGATAGAGTGGTGGGTGGTGCTTCAGTTCTGCCTTGTATTTCATGCTCAAAGGTTGCTCTAATGTGCAGGAGCCAACAACTGGAGTGTAGTTTTCTGTCCCGTGCCTTTGGGGAAAGCTATTAAAATGGGAGATGTTCTTTAGCTGTTAGGAAATGATGCATCAAACTGCGCTGAATGGAAAACTCACTCCACGGGAGGTAATTTTAGTAGCTGGTTCATTTTACTTCAGGGGAATCTGCATCTGGCAGATGAGAGAGGCAGTCCCTCGCCAGCCTGCTTCTGTCCCTGGGGTGTTAGAGGCTAACTACTATTCCCAAAGCACTTAGGGCTCCCCAATAGAAGTGCAAAGTGTTGCTGTTACTATCCTGACGCAAAAATAACAGACCTCGTAAAATTTTGTCAGAGCCTTCCTTGACAAAAGGTTTAATTGTGCAGGGAGGGCTGGCAATATTTATTTGCATGCAATTTCCTGCCCCAGGGAGCTGGAGATTGTAGTGGACAAAGAACAGATGAAGGGTTGGAGAAGGGAGGCGATTGATGGAGGTGACACTTGGCACACATTGTGCTGAGGCCGTAGGTTTTGTAGGGCTTTTTCTTCTTCCTTTCCCATGCTGGTTAGTTTACTTACTGCCTTGTTTTGTGCTTTACTGCACATCCCATGTACCCTGGTAATCTCTTGCCATTCCTTTTTCCTATCCCCTACCAAGGTCTTGTCACCCTTTCTGGCAGAAAAGCAACTTGAAAGTGGTTCTTGCAGGTTATGTTCCGACTAATACTAATTTTCTGTAATTTTGTCTATTGAACTTGGGCACAGGGTACAGTCAGTGTCTTAAAAAATATTCCAGCTCATGACATTCCAACTTGATGGCAGCTCAAAGTAGTTATTTTGAATGGTTCTCTAAAGATACGTTTTAGTTTGGGGGATATTTTAAAGGAAAGAGCCTTCTGTTTCTCAGTGTTAATGAAAAGAACATTTAACTTTGCTGTTATTTCTTAGGTAAACAAAAGCATGTGCATGTCCAGGGAGAACTGGGGTTTGTCTTTAGCCTACAAATGTGTTGTAGAGGTAAACGGGGGGAAGAACTGCAAGCCAGGTGTGTGGAGCATCACACCTTGCTCCTGGACAATGTTGGCAGCAGCTCTGCAGAGATGTTCACACAGCAGCCCCAGCCCTTGCCTGGTGCCTCAGCACACGCATGCTGTGAACCATGTGCAGCTCGCTGTGTCCAGCAGTTCTCATTTCACACTCACTAAGCATCAACTTGTAAAAATCATCTCTCCAGGCTCTTTGTTGAGGCTGTAATGCACAAAGCAGTGTTGGAATCAGAGTAGTAAAGCCTGAAGTTAGATTGTGATATGTAGGACTGGTGAATGGTGATGACATTTCTGATGCTCAGCTTGGCTCTTTGACCCTTAAGACCATGTTACAGCCATCCCTTTGCCTTTTATTGCTGGATTATTTCATGTCAAATTTGTGTAGTCCTGTGGGCTGTGCTGCTGGGTGGGAGGGGGTTGGCTCTGTTTGAAAGCCTCAGCACAACTGCCACACTTGGAAAATTAAAGTGTGTTTGGAATGGTCTCTAATGGCAGCATCAATCTGCATAGTAACAGTGGTCTCCTTTTGCCTCCACAGAAATGGAAGCGGTTTGGAATTTGCAGAAGCAAGGTAAGGATGTTGGGAAGAACAAATGAACTGAATTGCTGTGTCTATTGGGAGGGGGATGAATGAGAGTGGATTGTCTCTGTGTCTGGAGATGACTGGGTTCAGTTCTTCAGCGCCTGCGGTTTGTAGTCTGGATTTATCTGTGTTTCAGATCGTTGAAAGGCAGGACAATAAGCTTTGCTATAATGGTGAGCTGCTTGGAGACAAGCAGACTCTCTAAAAGAGCAACAAACCCAATGTCAAATTAGATTTAATGACTCTTCCTTATGTGTATACAAAATCACTTTCTATTTCTGGTGTTGGGTGTCACATTCAATAATAAGTTTTAAATTCTGGTGTATCCCCACAAGTCACCTGAGAAGAGGTTTTGTTTGGGAAGAGCCGTATGTGGAGACCTGTTTGCTGCTGTGGGGAGCAGGTTTGCCCTGGGGGAGCCAGGCTGGCTTTGGGGTGGCTTGGCAGGAGGGGGGGTGGCATCCAAAGGAAAAGTCTGTTAACAGCCAAGCATCTTGTGTTTATTTTCAGCCACAGGGCCTGAAAGTAGCTTGTCCAAAACTTAAAATTCTGCTTTCTTTCCAGATCCCAAAAGGATAATCACTTATGATGAAGCCATGGATCGCCCGGATCAATGAAGGTAGCAAGACAAGACTGCCTGTTCTAACCTTTCTGCAGCATTTGTGCTGTTCGTGGGGGACAAAAAGGCTTTTATGCTCCTTCTAAATCTTCAGTGCAGCAGAGGAACCATAACTAGAATCACAGGATAATATATTCAAATATATATATAGTTATTTAAAAATGGCAACTGAAAGTAATTAGACTTCTTAAGGAATCTGAAAATTTATTTCAACGAGACTACACACGTGATTATTTAATCTCCGGTACTGAATAGATTTTTTTTTTTTTTCATTTTTGTTTTGTTTCGTTTTTGTTTAAAGAGTGAATGCAAGTGATTAAGGAATACAGACTCAATTACAAGCCCGGTTTCAAAGTTCCTGCTGTCGTCTACATGGGCAACAGCAACCCACTGGAGAGGCATTTCCACTTGACAAGGTTTCTGTTTCTTGTTCTGTGACTGTAGTGACACACTAATCACAGGGAAATCAGGATGATTCATCATCCTTCATCTCCCCTTTCCCTTCCACCTCCCCTGTTTGGTTTCTTTTTTTTTTTTTTCTGATTTGTTTTCCATTGAATGCTGGAGAAACACCTTGAAGTTTGCAGAGTTTCTTTTTTTTTTTCCAGAGAATTATAATCCGCATGTTTTGCCAGGAGTAAAGCAGCAATCCTATGCTGGTGATATTGTCTTAAAAGGATCATTCTGCTGAGGGAAAGATGGTAATACTGCAGTTCTAGGATGCATGGTGAAGTCACACAATTGACCTGGCTCCTGTTACACGTTGGACTATTGCAACTGAAGAGTTATTTCATTTTAAAAGACAACATGGAAAAATAAGCAATCTGTTTAGGCATTTAATATGGAAAAAAAAACCAACAAAAAAAACCCCGCTGTTCCCACAGATTAATGCTATTGTATTACTGGGAGCAAGAAAAAAAAAAAAAAAGACAAAAAAAAGTATCTTCTGCTTTAAACTGTAGGTGCTTCATATTTGCTCTGTCTGTCTTCTAACACTAAATGTGCTGGATTTTTTTCCCATTTTCATTGGAAAACTGAAAAGGAATTGAGTTCTGCTAACTTTCACCCTTCTTGAATTATTTTTTCTCTTAAAAAAATTATCAAAATAACAAAAAAATGAAAAAATTAAAAAAAAAAAAAAAAAGAAAAAAATGGGAATTTGAATCCTTTTCGATTTGTCCATAGATCGCCAATGGCTGGGCTTCCTGCCCCTTGGAGATGCTCTTTTATATTTTAATGCAGTCTGTGTATTTCCGGCTCTGCTTCTAATTATCTCTTAATAAAAATATATTTTATTACAAAAAAAAAAAGGAGGACTTAGGAATGAAAATAATAATTTAAAAAAATAATAAAAAAAAAAAATCCCAGGGAAAGGAAAGCTTCCTAGCAGTGGTAGGGAAGGCTGAGCAGAGTGCAGGCTCCAGCTGTGTAACCCCTCTGTCCCATTGCAGCTTGTGTAATGTGTCCAAATCATCTGAGGGTCGGGTAGTTTTTCTGGGTTGTTTTTTTTTAAAGGTGGGAAGTTCACAGGGTCCAGTGCAAGAGTGAGGAATTAATAAAGCAGAAATGGGTTTGTTGACCAGCCCCAGCTTCCCATGTACCCAGACCTCGTTGTGGGTGTCTCTGGCCTAATCCTGGCTCCTGGGTGTCTCCAAATCAGCAGCAGTTGGTGTCTCCTAAAATGAAACTGGGCATTATGAGGAATAGATAAACCCAAAACTTTGGAATACCCTTTGTGCTTAGATCTGTTCATCGGGTCCCTGTCTGGTCACCAGAGGGTTCCACATCCTCAGCCCATTTCTCTCCAATATCTCATTAACAGCCTGGGTTCAGGACTCAGAGATGCTAAATTTGCTGACACACTAAACTGGGAGGAACTGTTGAGTCCCTGGAGGGCAGAGAGCTCTCAGCAAATGAGAGATGGGCAATCACCACCTGTGTGAAGTTGAACAAGGGCAAGTGTCAGATTCTGCATCTGGGATGGGCAGCCCTGGACAGACTGGGAATGAGAGGCTGGAGAGCAGCACCATGGAAAGGGAGCTGGGGGTCCTGTTGGATCTGAGTCAGCAGTGCCCTGGCAACCAGGGGGGTCAGCCCTGTCCCAGTGGGCAGCAGGCCCAGCATGACCTGTCCTGCTCTGCTCTGCACTGGTGCAGCCTCACCTCAAGTTCTTGGGGCAGTTCTCTGCACCACAATGTAAAAAAGACCCCTATTAGAGAGCATCCCAAGGAGCCCAAGAGGATGGGGATGGGAAGTCTTATGAGGTCACTTGGTTTGTTCAGCTGGAGAAGAGGAGAGACCTCATTGTGGTCTTCAACATCCTCCCACGGGGCAGCAGAGGGGCAGGTACCAATCCCTTCACTCTCATGACCAGTGACAGGGAATAGCCTGAAGCTGAATCAGGGGTTGGATAGCAGGGAAAGGTTCTTCACCCAGAGGGTGGTTGAGCACTGAAACAGGGAAGTGGCCACAGCACCAAACTTGTCTGAGTTCAAGAAGAGTTTGGCTTTCAGGCACAGGGTGGGATTCTTGGGATGTCCTGCACAGGG